GAGAGGAGGAGGGGGGGGGGGAGGGGGGGGAGGGGTACGGGGGGGGCGGCATGGAGGGGGAGAGGAAGAGCAATGGCGAGAGAGGGCAAGGGACTGGGCGCTGGCATACCAGGTGGGGCAGGCTGGTGGGCGGCGACCGCCGCATACCGTCCTACGGCGGGGATTATCGCTACGCCAGGGAAGACAAGGGCGTCGAAGTGCAGCTGCTGCTGTTCGAATCGTTCGGCGGGTTCGGAAAGGGGGTCCGTGAGATCCTCCGGAGAGCGGCGGACGTGCTACAGAACAAGCTGACGCGGGCCCAGTACCTCGATGAGGTGACTTGGACCACCAAGAGCTGGCTGGGGCTGCAGAAGCAGCGCATCTCAGTCGTTCTTCACACGGCCATCGCAGAGCAGGTCGTGAATGAGCTTGCCTGTGGCGGGGGTGGGCGGGTGCACGGAGCTAAGTGCCTCGCCACCCTCGCAGGAGTCGCTTAGGCGGCTCCCGTGGTGTACCTGTGTTAGTGCCAGTGCGCGCCAGTCCCGTGCCCAGTGTTGTGCGAGGGAGTGGGTTGTAAAATTCTTGTTTTTCAAGCTGCTTGAGTCGATACATGCACATGCGGAGCAGCGAGTCCGACTCCGACGTCAGCTCTGGCGAAGCAGTGACGGAATCGGGAGACACCTGCGACCTCGGCGGCCTCCTTGACTCACTTGAAGGCATCTCACTCCATCAGCCACGTGAGGACGGCGTCCCGGTCCATAGCGGGGAAGAGCAACCGCCCTTCCGCTTTGCAGTGCCAGCGGTGCAGCTGCGAGACTACCAGGCCTCGCTGCTGGCCGCCGTCCGCGACCGCTTCTCCGAGGGGCATGGCTCCGTGCTGGCCTACCTCCCGACGGGAGGCGGCAAGACGCACGTGGCCGCGGCAGAGTGCGCCTCCGAGCTCGCCGCCGGCGGCCGCTGCCTTCTGCTCGTCAACAGCCGCACGCTCCTTGAGCAGACGCGCCGCGCGTTCATCAAGGTTGGCTTCGGCTCGGAGCTGGTCGGGCTGGTGGGCGGGAGCAGCGCGCTGCAGCTCGAGAGGCCGGTGCAGGTGGCGATGATACAGAGCCTGCACGGCCGCACGCTCGAGCAGCACGCGCGGTGGCTCCGCCGCTTCTCGCTGGCCGTCGTGGACGACATACAGGCAGATATGGGAGATATGGGGAGATAGGTGGCTCCGCCGCTTCTCGCTCGCCGTCGTGGATGAGGCGCACGCCGCTTTCGCGCACACGTACGCGTCGCTCCTCCGCCGGCTGGGCGAGCCGTGCCGCGTGCTCGGTGTGAATAGAAGAGCTGTGAATAGAAGAGCTGTGAGCAGGCGAGTCGTGCCGCGTGCTCGGCGTGACGGCGACGCCCTTCCGCTCCTCGCCCGAGGAGCGGCTCGAGCAGGTCTATCTCCCCACATCTCCCCATCTCTGCCCATCTCTCCCCAGGTCTTCACCGGGGCTGCCACATCTCCCCACATCTCCCCATCTCTGCCCATCTCTCCCCAGGTCTTCACCGGGGCTGCCACATCTCCCCACATCTCCCCATCTCTGCCCATCTCTCCCCAGGTCTTCACCGGGGCTGCCATATCTCCCCACATCTCCCCATCTCTGCCCATCTCTCCCCAGGTCTTCACCGGGGCTGCCTTCGGCCCCTCCATCTCGACTCTCATCGACCGCCGCCTCCTCGTCCGCCCCACCGTCTACGGCGGCCCCCCTCCCCGCGCCGGCGGCACCGCGGCCCCGTTCGAAGCCGAGGTCGACGCCATCATCGCAAAGGACTCTGAATTAACTCTTAACTCACTCTTAATTAACACTTAATTAGGTCGACGCCATCATCGCAAAGTACCGCGCGCGCGCGCGCGGCGTGCGCGCCGTCGCCTTTTGCGCGCGCGTTGCCGACTCAAAGCTGCTCGCGGCTCGGATGGCGCAGGCCTGCACCTCGGCTAGACCTCGGCTAGACCTCGGCTAGACCTCGGCTGCACCTCGGCTAGATCTCGGCTAGACCTGCTTGCGGTTTGGTTGGCGCAGGCCGGCATCGCCGCCGCCCACCTCGATGGCGACACGTCCGCCGCAGGTCTATCTCCCCATATCTCCCCACATCTCCCCATATCTGCCCATATCTCACCTCGACGGCGACACGTCCGCCGCAGGTCTATCTCCCCATATCTCCCCACATCTCCCCATATCTGCCCATATCTCACCTCGATGGCGACACGTCCGCCGCAGAGCGCGAGTCTCTCTTCGATCGGATGCGCGAGGGGTCGCTGCACGTGCTCTGCAACTGCGACGTCCTCTGCGAGGTGTATATCTCGGCTGTATCTCGGCTGCACCTCGGCTGCACCTCGGCTGCCTCTCGGCTGCCTCTCGGCTGCCTCTCGGCTGCCTCTCGGCTGCCTCTCGGCTGTGTCTCGGCTGTGTCTCGCGTCCTCTGCGACGTCCTCTGCGACTTGCCCGAGGTAAGGGTACCAGGGTTCAGTTCTTTGCTGGTAGGGGTTCGACTTGCCCGAGGTCGGCGCGGTGCTGCTGCTGCGGCCGACCCGCTCCCGCCGCCTCTACATCCAGCAGGTGGGGCATTAACTAATTAACTATTAATCAACTACTAATTATTAATTCGCTCTATATCCAGCAGGTGGGGCGCGCTCTGAGGGCGGCAAAAGGCAAGGAGGGGTGCGTGGTCCTCGAGATGGCAGGGCTCTTCTCTTCACGGCTCGTTCTATGCACAGGCAAGGAGGGGTGCGTGGTCCTCGACTTTGCAGGGCTCACGTGGCGCTTCGGCCCCGTGACCGGCCCGCCGCTTGGCGCGAGCGAGGCGAGATCTAGCCGAGATCATGACCGAGATCTAGCCGAGATGTGATGTTGCCTGTATCTGAGGTAGGTGTACGCGTGGGAGGAGGCGTGCGGCACCGCGGCGTCGGCGAGGGCTCTGGTTCGCCGCTGCCGGTGCGGCGTGCTGAGCCACGCGGCGGAGGCTGTGAAGAGAGGAGCTGTGAAGAGAAGAGCTGTGAACAGGTGCGGCGTGCTGAGCCACGCAGCCGAGGCGGAGTGCGGCGCGTGCGGAGAGCTCTTCCGATCGGCGGCCGTCAGGGCGGCGCAGTCGAGCTGCCTCGCCTCCCTCTCCTCCTCCCGCGCCGGCCTCGCTGCCCAGCCCGCGCGGCACAGCGCCGGACAAGGAGGGGCGAGCAGACCCGTGGGCCAAGGCGAGCCGTCGCGGGCTCTCGCGAGCACCGCTCTGCCCCTGGGCAGGTCGAAGCACAGCGCGCCGGAAGCCAATCCGCAGCAGCCTCGTGCCGCGGCGCAACAGATGCCAAAGCCTCGGCCCGCGTCCGCACCTCTGCCGATCGCGGCCGCCTCGCCGCCGCCACAGACACAGCTGCACCTCCGGCCTGCTTCCGCCTCGTCCGCCGCCCGCACACCGCTGGCCGACGTGCGCTGCCCACAGCTGAAACGGGCCGCGCGCA